GGTCCCCCACCGCAGTACTGACTAGGCGATACCTTGCTTAACTTCGCAGATCGGACGGGATGCGGTGCTTTCAAGGTTCTATGGCCGCAGATACTGATCATTACCTGGTAGCAAGTTATAATGCGCTGCCGAGCGGCAGTTGAGAGTGTGTGTATCCAAGCTTGATGAGCCCGCGCGCTCGGGATAAGTTAACGCCCACTCGTGATGACGCGCTTGGAGTGCGGATGTGCGGACCTTGAGCCGGGCCACGAGCCTCAGTCGTTGCACAGGACGAGTACGCGGCCCAAAAAAAAACAACAAAAAAACATTGCGGCCGTCGGATATGAGGATCGACAGGCGCACACACAACGAGACACACGTTGACGGAGCAGTGGATCGGAGCGAGGATGGGAACACTTTTGAATTGCGATGGGGGCGGAGGATGCGTGCGTACGTGTGTACGTGAACAGCCGCAGACGCTTGTGCGGAACGAAATCGAAGACGAGACAGACCGAAGCGCGAACGTCGCAGTGCTTAGACAACGAGGTACTTGCCCTGCGAGGCGAGGTCGTTGGAGACAAAGGCGGCGTAGGACCAGGTGAGGTCGCGGGCGCCCTGGTTGAAGCCCGTGTTGCGATTGAACTCCTCGTTCATGGAGCCGTTGGACTGGGTGTGCGACTGGACGATGTTGACAAAGCCGTTGGCCATGGCCTTCATGCCCGAGGTGAGCGTGGTGAACTGGCTCGAGCCCGAGGCGTACGTGCCTGCAGCCGCCGACGACGAGAACTGCCTGTAGAAAGGCAGCGAGGTCGAGGTAACCGCAAGGCTGCCGCGAGCATTGGCAACCGAGACGGCGGTGTTGAGCACCTCGGCAGCAGCGAGGGTGCAGATGAACCAAGGGTTGCCCTGCGACGTGCCATTGCCGTCGTAGACATCCTCCTGGTAGCGACCGGTGGCAACGGCGTTGGGCGCAGCGGCGTTGTTGTTGATGGCGTAGAGCGAACGGAACGAGTCGACGTACTTCTTGTGCGTGGCAAGCACCTTGTCCGAGGCGGGGCCGAACTCGGTGGCGTCGACGGCGGCGGTGGCGTTGGTGGTGTCCCAGCCCTTGAGCGCGCCGAGCATGACGGAGCAGTCGAGACCCGAGCGGCCGCTGACGCCCTGGTACGCCTGGATGTAGCCGTTGCCCGAGTCCCAGAAGGTCTGCAGCTTGGTCTTGACCGCCGCAGCCTGCTGGTTGTAGTAGGTGGCCGCACCAGGGTCGCTCATCGAGGTGGCGAACTTGGCACCGTCGACGAGCGCACGGCGCTGCACGGCGAGCGTGAAGAAGTGCGCACCCTGCACCTCCTCCCACAGGTCGAAGCTGCTGTCTTGCCAGTGGTGCGACACCCACTCGAGGTCGGTCTTGATCACGCTGCCGGCGCTCAGGTCCGACTTGTACAGCGTGCCGGTGACAAAGGGGTCGGTGAGGCCGATGCGCTTGGCAAAGGCGATCAGCGCCGAGGCGCGCAGCGCAGGGCTGTCGTTCTGCGGACGACCCCAGGGACCCGTGAAGAGCGATCCATCCGGGTTGAACTTCGGTTCACCCTGGCCGGAGCTCGAGCTGGCGGCGTTCTGCTGGTGCACCTTCTCGGCGTTGGCGTAGTTCTGCACGAGCGTGCGGTCGAGCGTGCCCTGCGAGATGACGACCTTCATGGTGAGCGCGGCGTCGCGCACCCACGAGTAAAAGTAGTTGGGGCCTGCAGTGGAGGGCGAGGCGATGACGGCGCCCGACTGGACGCCGGGCACCTGGTTGCCGCCAGCGGTGGAGGAGGCGCCGCCGATGTTGGCGATCATGCGCTGGTAGGAGTAGTTGGAGGTGGTGGCGCGGGGCTCGAGGCGGCCGGCGTTCTGCTCGAGGCCGATGAGCGACCTGGCGACCGAGGCGGCGTCAGCATTGGTGCTGAAGGCGCAAAGGCAGATGAGCAGCAGCGCCAGACCGGCACTGCCGAGCAGGACGATGGGCTTGCTGCGCGTCTGGGTCTTGGACATGGCTTCGAGATCGACTGACTCGTGTGAGGCTAGGGTAAGGTGGGAGGGATTGAGAGGCAGGGAGAGATAGCCAGAGGAGTAGTTGGATGAGGAGCGAGAGAGTAGAGGCGAGGATTCATGGTGCTCTTTTATGCTTGTTGGCGAGACCATGGCGGGCATGGTCAGACGAACCGGTCCCACACCAAGCGGCTCGTGGCTACTTCGCCTGCTGTGTCGTATTCCTCGGCAGCACTTGGTTGGGCGTGCAAATGAGACGTTG